GTGGCTGATCTGTTCTGCAAAATATTTGGCTGCGTGTCACTGCACCCCAAACAACTGAAACGATATAACTAAAGAAATCTCTAGGGTTGGGCGATGTCGACCAATTTGGCATTGTACGATGTGTAAAGTTAACCATCGCGATGGACGATGGCATCATTCTATAACTGGCATCATTAACAGCCTATAGTCAATAAAGGGGTATTTATATTTGCACTACGCTTTATGTAAGCATGTCAATTTAACTAAATGTATTGCTGTTTGAATACAGTATATCACTAAAGATGTGTAGCGAATTTGCAGTAATCTAACAGACACAATAAACACGGATAAGTTCTGAAACTCTCACTTAAAATATCTGTGATTGTGAACAAGAAAAGAATAAACGGTCAAATTAAATGGTTAAAATAAAGGAGAAGCAGATCAGTTTAACTGAATAAGAGAAATACCTTCACACTGCTGTTGCTAAATCATTTGCCCTTGGTACGTAGAGGGGTGATCTGCCGTCAGGAAGCAGGTGGAAGAGACTGCTGTACGAGGACTGGGTCGCCTGTGTGCTTTGAGGTGGGGGAGGGGCCGGCGGCATCACCTGTAGCTCGAAGAGTGGGGACGGTACAGTATGGACAAATGACAGTCTATAAAAATCTCCAGTAACACACAAAAAAAAGCGCTAGATTTGTCGCTAGGCGCTTTTTTGAAAACTTAATGCTAGGGGGGGGGGTATCTGAAAAGTCGCTAAATCTAGTGGCAAAGTTGGAAACACTGAGCAGGTTTGTGACGTGGGTGGGGTGGAGGATCGGCAATGCCAGCTGAGCATCGTGTTGTCTATTGGTCATCAGCAATGTTCGATGGCATCGCCTATCGGCCCAACTTTAATCTCCACTGTGCCGAGCGAGAGCGCTTCTTACTAAACAGCGCATCATCGATGACGTAAACATGCTCAGGTGTAAATGCAATGCAAGTGCAGGCCGTCGGGGTAGACGTGAGGGGAGACAAGCGTGCTTTGGCCCGGTTCAAGGCAATTGTATATAATATGAGTACCACACCCTAAATGCAGTTTTGAGCAGAACTTCACTTGCAGCAGAAACCCCTGGAACAGAATTTGGATTGTAAAACTGATTTTTTTTTTTTTTTTTTTTTGATAGATTACATCACTGTGGGCGGTAAATGGGTTGTTCAGTCTGATTCAGACACTGTATAAATGAAAGGACAGAAAGGAGAGCAGAACAAACTCCTAACAGGAGGAGACTCACTCATGGCCTATGAGACAGAGGATCAGGAGACTCAATACTGCTTTCCTGACATCAACTCATCATGTGTCAAGGAACAACACTCCAGTCATGGATATATCATCATACATTTGTTCGTGTCATTGCTGTCAGCATGGACTGTGTTTCTGAACCTGCTGGTGATCATCTCTATCTCTCACTTCAAGAAGCTTCACACTCCAACCAACATGATTATTCTCTCTCTGGCTGTAAATGATCTGTTTATTGGTATCGCCATGCCTGTAGAGGCCATCAGACTGATTGAGACGTGTTGGTATTTTGGAGACACTTTCTGTGTGCTCTATTTATTTTTTGTTGCATTGCTTCTCTCAGCATCTCTTGGCAATTTAGTTTTAATTGCTGTTGATCGTTATGTGGCTGTGTGTCACCCTCTACTGTACACACAGAAAACAACCATCGCTAAAATATTTTGTCTGAGTATCTGTCTGAGCTGTGTTTGCTTTTCAGCTTATTTCACTGCCCTTGTAAATGTTAATAATCAAGATTTTGACACTTCACAGAGAACAGATGTGTGTTATGGACAATGTTTAGTCATGATAACATTTAGTTGGATAGTCATTGATCTGTTTGTGTCTTTTATTTTTCCTTGCACTCTGATCATGATGTTTTATTTGAGGATTTTCTATGTCGTTCATCAGCAAGTGAAGGTTATAAACTCTCTGATGAAGGGTGGTAAATGTGTAACGGAGGGTTCAGTGAAGAGGAAATCTGAGAGTAAAGCTGCTCTGACTTTAGGAATCATTGTGTCTGTTTATATGCTTTGCTATATTCCATACTATATCTGTTCTCTAACTGTAAACTCTTCCACAGCTATAAATGTTTTAGTATGGCTTGTGTATTCTAACTCTGGTGTGAATCCTCTGGTTTATGCTATATTTTACCCCTGGTTTAAAAAGACCGCTAAACTCATCTTAACTCTAAAAATATTTCAGCCGGCATCCTCTCTGATCAATATTTTTACAGAACTTTAATTATAATTACTTTTAATGCTGTCATTAATATAGAAGTAATATTTGATTTATATTTGTAGTTTTTAATACTCAATTTAAATCACACATAGCTTATTTCATCACTTGTGATGTTGACCTACTCCTGTGAAAGCAACAAAAGAACATTCTAAGAACATTTCATTATAGTATATCACAGGCCCAGTTCTCGCCAGTTATAGAAGAAAAAAGCTGACAGAAACACCAGGCGGGTAATTTTCAGGGTATGGATTCAGTCAGTTTGTGATATATTTATTTTTCCTACATTTTCTCCAGGTGCTGTCATTGTAAAAACAGTACAAATAAAACAAACTATTATCTAACTACTAAGTGTTTATGTTTATAGTGTTTGTCTTCAGTGCTTTAACCATGACAGGACAAATGTCTTACTGACATGAGACTTATGACAGTGGAAACAGAAACATGTCCCGTAATACTCTTAGTCCAGCCATGTTTGAGAATGATTCTATTCAGTATTAAAGGAATAGTTCACACAAAAATGAAAACTACCCCATAAGACTTTTCCTTCTGTCAGATGAATAGCGTGATTGTAAATTTTATCCTGGCTCTTCCATGGCATGCTGTTTAAAGGTGTTGGCTTTTATTTTAAAGCTTTCATAAAGCCATGTGTTTTTGTGACAGAAGTATTTCTAATTTTTAAATGATAAACTCCAATCACTGAGTTCTGAGGTGACTGCATTCACATTATGAATAAATGATGAATACAACATATTACACACTATATAAAATGGGCAGAGAAATGAATATGGCACTGTAAGAGTAACACCTTGTCCTAACAACATGAGAAGATTCCAGAAACAAGCAATTTTTTTGTCTGCACCAAACATGACGCGACATGACTTGAACATTTAAATACCAGCCACTGCACTCCCAACAAAATGGTAAAGGCTTTTAATCTATAATGAATACATATTAAACCTTTTTAACATTATTAATAGGCTACTTAGTGACTTATGTTGTTGGTTTGCACAAGTTTGACTATCAAGGTGAACTATCTGGTGCTGCCATCAGTAGTATAGCAATAAATGTCACAAAAATGGTATTTAAACTCACAATGGTTGTATTTAACTTTGACGGGTGTGGTGTACTTCAAATATTTAACTTCCTCCAGCAGCATGTTTTGGGGGAAATAGTGTTTTCTGAAACGAGAGCTGTATAGTGAAGCAAAACCAGCCACATTATGGTCACTGCTGCTGGAGCCACTAACAGGCTTTATTATAGGTTCTAAACATCTATGCATTGCATTGGCGCAGAAATATGTCTGATTTTTATTACTGTGACCGACAGTGTCTGCACATCTGTAACAGTCTGGAACCACAAGATTGAAGACTGTGCCTTTACTTAGCCAATCAAAAACAAGAATTTCCTGTTATGGAGACTGACCTTAAATGCATTGTTAAAGACTCTTTCTTAAGCTCTCTGTGTTGTGGCCTGGTATCGCAAGCTCAAATTCTCAATAAAGGCAGAATCCCAGTATACAGAGAATAAACATATTATGGTTGACAAACTTATTCTGGGGTTATGATATATACCATCATAGCCACCGCGCCCAAAGACACAGTAGCTCACCCAAACATGTCTGGCCAACTCTATCAAAATTTGATAAGCAGCATTATTTCAGCTTGTGTCTAAAATGCATTACATTAAGAAGTTAATAGATTGTCACTGCAAAAAAAAACTTATGTGCTATTTACTTCAAAAAATAGTGGTAACACTATTGCACGCAATGTTGATGATATGAGTGATAGATGATAAATTTAATATTAGTGGAATGTGCGTTTATAATTTATGCAAATCCACCACCATTTACTCAAATTTATTTTTTTTAGCAAAAAACTCTAAAAGAGTCATGTGAAAGTTACTAGGTTTTTTTCAGTGATATATGATGATTTTAATATTGTTAGTGGAATGTGCTCTTATCATTTAAGCAAATTACCGTCTGATCACTGTCGTTGCTGAGATTCAAATGCAAACATCTCAATCAAATCTGCATAATTGAGTAAATTTTCTTAAAATAAAGGTGAAGCCATCTTTCCTCAATTTTATTAGCTTAATTGTTTTCTGAAATTAGGCTTAATAATTGCACTGGTTTGCTTAAAACATTAGTCAAATTCATCTCTTGATTTTATTAGCAAATTCTTCTCAATATTTTATAATGAATCCAGAATATCTATTTTTAAAGAAAATATGCTTATTTTAATGACAACATCAATTTTTAATGAAAATTACAAGCCTCAACATAATTTTTTACAGTGTTGATTCAAACAAATCACAAAATAAAACCAGAAAATGTAAGTGTTCTCCTTTATTATCAATTGCTGATCATGATTTTGAGGATTGATTGATCCGTACTTCACAACACACACTTCGATCTTCAGATTCATCATTCACAAACTTGGTTGATGAAGCAAATTAGACAGAGATTAGTTATCAAGATTTAAAGATTCAAGATCTGCCAAATCTTAGATTGTTTAAGCAGGGTACGAAGAATTAACCCCAGATGCGTAACACAAATAGCACAACAAGTTGTTTTCCTTGAACAATAAAACATAAGACATCATCATCACTTCAAGAAACATAATCCAAGTTATCAACGACACTAAACACTTGAAAAAATAACACCACATTTATACAAGTCATCATAAAACAAAATCAAAAATATCCTCATCAATAAAATGGACAGAGGCCCTCTCCAATGTGCATTCCATACACATCTCACTAGCTTTGTTTCCATCCAAAGATGCGAATTAGACTTATGTGCAACACTGAAATATTGCATAAAACATTTGCGGATGAAGCACAGTTTCCATCCAATGAGTCAAAGAGAACAAAATCATCACTTTCTGATAACCTGACGCCAAAGATCAAAAACGAAAAGAGAGTTTGTTGCGGTAGGAGAAGACGCTGTGAGCATTTTTGTAAAATAATAAATTACATTTGCCTCAGAAGAAGAAATGCACTAAATGGGCAATGGCTTTTGGAGGTGTGAGACGCTCAAGACTTAAGTTCTGAGAGATAATAATACTGAACCACTTTAAACAAAGGAGGGATTTTAGAATGAATAAAACAATCAGATGTTTTACATTGTTCTCACTTTGCTGGTTGGTCTATTAATACACTCCTATTAAGCCCATTTTTATCATCAGTTACAGTAGTTTAAACAAAATCACATACTTTTAATGTACATGCTGAAATTTATTCATTAAATGTGTTTGCATTTGCATTTTTTTCTCATCGGATAAAAAAAGTTTATTTTTAATGCACATTTTGGCATTTCAATTAAGCATTATTTGTCAAAACGACATTCAAAAATGAGCATTAAAAATAGGCAGCTGGAAACATAGCTACTGTACAAACAAACATAACTCTACATCTAAACTGACATCTGTTAGAGTTTCAAACCAAGTAGTCCAGTTCAGCATTCATTGTGGAATACATTTCATAAATAGCATCTACAGTTGCGGTGAAGTTTATCAAGAACAGGCGAACTTTCGCCAAGCAATCCTCCTCCGCAACTTCTTGATCCTTGGACAAAGCTTTAAGAAAATCTGACCGGCACGGTGCAGCAAATAATGCAGCCTACAGCAGAACCAAACAAATGCTGTGTGTCAAACCCTCATAAAAACCACACCTCAACCATCACAACAAAGCCAAAAGTCAAGACCATTTCCTTCACAAAACTTTGCAGATTGAGGTGAAGTTGGCTTTATATTAACACATTTGTTTATTTTTGAACAGTGACAACTTGTGACATTGTTTACCATGCTACTTTGAATATTCGCCTGAAATCCCATGTAAATATGACTTCAAAACTGCATTTAGTGCTAATTGACTGTGAACAAAGTTGTTTTTTATTAGTCATTATTGGCTATTTAGAATTCACAAGCATAACTTTTTGTACTTATATTATTAAGGAGCAAGCATAGAATGTGCGTATATATAAAAACATCTTTACCCTAATACTTTAATTTAGGTAAAGTTGGTTTTATATTTGCACATTTGTTCATTTTTGAACAGTGACAACTTAACACGCTCATTATATTGTTTACCACGATACTTTGACTTTAACTGTATAAATATGACTTAAAATCATTAGCTCTGTTTAATTGACTGTGAACAATGTATACTTTGATAGTCATTGGCTTCTAATGTGATTTCCCTATTTATAATTTGCAAACAATGCTTTTCTGAACTTATATATTGAAGGAGCAGGTCGAAATGTGCGCATATAAAACCAATTTTACTACAATACTTTGAGGTAAAGTTGGTTTTATTTGAACAAATTTGTTCATTTTTGAACAGTGACAACTTATGTCTTGCTCCCTACAGTGTTTACTATGCTATTTAGAATATACACTCTAAAATCACAAATAAATATGACTTTATAAGAACATTAGCAACATTTAATTGACTGTAAACAATGTTTTATCTAAACTTTGATATTCATTGGCTGCTAATATGATTTCCCCATTTAGAATTTGCAAACAATGCTTTTCTGAACTTGTATTATTATTATGGAAAATATAAAACCAACTTTACTTTAATACTTTGAGGTAAAGTTGGTTTTATAGTCGCAATTTTGTTAATTTTTGTAGTGACAACTTAATACACTCCCTATATTGTTTAGCACGCTACTTTGAATATTACCGTATAAATATGACTAATGTTGTTAAATAGTGCTAATAGTTGTAGTTTTGAACAATGTATACTTTGAAAGTCATGTGATTTCCCTACTGAGAATTTGCAAACAATACTTTTCCTAACTTACACTATTAAGGAGCAAGTATAAATCTGTAACGTTAACCAACTTTACCTCAATACTTTGCCAAGCCTCATCCCATAGCAATGGCATGTCCATATTGTTGTCACAGCCGACATAAATATTAACAAAACACCCACCTTGAAAACTTTCTGGACTATCCAGCCGTGGTATCTCTTCAGTGCTTGATCATAAGCTTTGGTGATGTTGACGCGAATGAGATTGGGATTGTCCTCATCTCTCTCTCCATCGGCAAGACTCTGCAGTAAAATCTGAATGAAGCGCAGGCCTCTGAGGAGAACACGGTAAACTGTTAAAACATCTCTCCGCTAATGTATAAGATGTATGTTTTGTAATGAAGCAGGTTACAACAACACTCACGCGATTAGATATCGCTTCTAATGATTCACTGTACATCCTGGCCGTTAGACAAATACCGTTACTATCACACTTGTTTGATTTGAAAGTTTGAATCTGCGCGGCGTGCGTTTTGAATTCGATTGGCTTGTGTTTATTCTCGCTACGCAGTCTTGGCCGCGCGCACGTTGACTCTGACTGCGTTTGGTTTGGACGCGGCGCACGTGACCCTGAATGTTTATAGGTGCGTTCGACATGAAGCTCAGCTGCAGCCGGTGATCAACGAGATTAGCCGAGCGCAGGCGGGGCGGAGTTGATAACGGAGCCGTCAAGACGGACAGCTGGACACTTCGGGACTCAAAGTTGCTGCAGTCATGACCGATTACATGGCGTCATCATATTTTTTTGTTACTTTTATTTATAACAGCAAAACATTTACAAATAAAACAGAATACAGTTTCTACAAACTGTAATTCCTTTTTAAACAATAAGAGAGAATTATGAATAAAATATATAACAAATGCATGAGAGAAATAAGAGGAAATAAGAGGTTAATATAAACATAAAAACGAACAGGTCTATTAAATACAAAGCAATCAGCATAAATTCTAGGAGTTAAACATCAATCTTTAGGCTAATACTTCTTGTTTAAATATGCTAAAAAAGGGTTTACATATATGTACATTTATAGATATAAAAATTTCCAATGTAAAAAGCAAAACAAGGTGTTTTGATTAGGTCTTAATAAATGACATTATTTTGGATAATGAATGAATTTTCAAAAAAGCATTTTAATCCAAAAAGATTGTGTTGAAAAGAACAAAAGGTAAAATAAGTGAGCTATGTAGAAGTTTTCTAGAAAGAGCAGGTAGTCTATAAACTGCTAGACAGGAAATAAAATAGATATTTATATTATAATAATAAAACCATTTTATAATTATTAAATAAAATAGTTCATGGAGATGAATGCAGTAAATAGTCTGTATAAAAAAAGTTAAAAATAAACCTGCGCAAACAAGCTAACCTTTATAACCAGATTATTTAACAAAAGATGATTACTGCAGTAAAATATTTGTGGTCTTTTAATAAGCAAGATGTGTACAGGATAGAGAGGGTGTAAAAAGTGAATTGTTTGTTTTGAAACTTTTGAATCGGAATTTGTCCAATTATAAACCCGAAATACACGTGTTTGTTGTCATGTGGTGAACTCGGCCAATCGTGTAATATCGGTGTCGTCATCAAACCTCCTGCAGTCGCTCTTCAGAAGCTGCACGGTCTGAGTTTGCCGTCTGATCTCGGAGCGCTGTCGCGGTACTTTGATGCCACATGTGACAGTCACGTGGCGTCTGCGCAGCATCAATCCGGACAAGATTTCTAACCAGAATGCACCGCTTTAAGACAGATTTCGATCGATCTGCGCAGCGCTGCATGAAGTCGAACGCACCTTATATATTTTCCTACACGATAATTTTTGTGAACTGCTTTTTATTAAAGGGCTTAACCAAACAGTTCCTCTGTTACCTTATATTTAATAATAAAAAAATAATCATAATAATTTTAAAAGATGTCAATAGAACTATTTTTATCTAAACTTTTCTTCAGAATCGTTATCTCTGTTCAAATACTAAGTCTAGATTTATCCAAAGGTGTGTCAGTGTTTATTTTTAATAAACTTATTTAATAAACTTATTTTATAAACTTATTTAATAAACTCATACTTTTAAAACTTTTGTAAAAAAAATTACAAAAGTAAATAAAATGAGATCAAAGAACAAGAGACTGAGATATCAAACACCCATAAGCACACAGTTTGAACACTTTCAGAAATAAAGGTACAAAAGCTATCACTGGGTCTGTACCTTTTCAAAAAGTAGCCTACACTTTTGTACCATACAGGTGCACACTGGTACCTTAAGGGAACATTTTTGTTCCGGTAGGGCAGAGATGCCCAAAGTAGGACCCATAGGCCAAAGTTAGCCCATTTTAAGCTTTCATTTGGTCCACAATCCCTTTTGACATAAAGAGTTTTGGTTGTTTGTTTTATTGTTGAGCTACAAAAAAGCTAATTGAATTAAATGTTTCAATGAAATGTTGTTAATAAATCTGATGTTTTAAAATTTAAATAGTTACTCGACGGATAGAATACTATGCAGAAGACATCGACGAGCAAATGAAGGCATAAAGTAGTATAACTCCATTCTGTTATAAATGAAATTGCTTTTACTGTAATACGTTCATTATTAAATGTTAATACACAGTTGAAGTCAGAATTATTAGCCCCCCTGTTTATTTTCACCCCAATTTCTGTTTAACACAGAGAAGGTTTTCCCGACACATTTCTAAACATAATAGTTTTAACAACTCATTTCTAATAACTGATTCATTTTATCTTTGACATGATGACCGTAAATAAATAATATTTGACTAGATGTTTTTCAAGACACTTACATACAGTTTAAAGTGACATTTTTAAGGGTTAACTTAATCAGGTTAACTAGGCAGGTTAGGGTAATTAGACAAGTTATTGTATAATGATGGTTTGTTCTGTAGACTATCGAAAAAAATCTAGCTTAAGGGCTAATAATTTTGACCTAAAAATTTTATTCTTAAAAAATTAAAAACTGTGAAAAAAATTCAAAGGGGGGCTAATCATTTTGACTTCAACTGTATATACTATATTAGTTCATATAAAGCAATGTTTTCTAGTTATTTTGAAATATTATTAAATAAATTAGGAAATTACAAATGGCAACTAGATTTACCTTCAGCCCAAAAGTCTCCATCAAGTTTGGTTTTTGTCCCTTTATAAGAAAAAGTTTGGGCACTCCTGCTGTAGGGTATACTTGTCTACTTTTAAGGTACTCTGGAGTACACAATTGTACTTCTTAGGTATATGTACCTTTATGGTACAAAAGTGGACCTGAAAGTAATAAGAATGTACCTTTAGAAAAGGTACCGCCCCAGTGACATCTTGTGCACCTTTATTTCTGAGAGTAAATGAATCCTATTTCTTTGCCGAACACACTGACATTACTTTGCAGAAAAGATCACCACAGCGGAATGAATCGCCGACTTATCCAGCATATAATTTACGCTTTTTTTACGCTTTTTAGCTTATTCAATTCATATACAGCGCATGTGTTAGGACTGTAGGAGAAACCAGAGGACCCAGGGGAAACCCACGCCAACACGGGGAGAACATGCAAACTCCACAAAGAAACGCCAACTGACCCAGCCGGGACTTGAAGCAGCGATCTTCTTGTTGTAAGGTGACAGTGCTAACCACCGTGCCACCTAATAAACAAAATAACAGATGAAACAAAAATCAGGACATGTGAGTATGTGAATAAATTACCTCTTTAACCACATAAGCGCCAGTGTGGCTCCAACTTTAGGCCACTCTGAGCCATAGCTGCTTTTCTCAATGATCAGTATCTGCTGAAGAGTCTCATACTTCACCGGATCAGAGTCATAGACGGCCTTTATTTTCTTATGGGAGTGAAAGAAATTCAGAACACGTTTTCAGAGATTCATTCATATATTAAAGTTTAGTTGAAAGCCATGCACAATAATAAAATGAAGTACAATATATAATAAATTTGAACACTTATGGTGCTAAATGTACCATCCTCACAATTATATAGACCATTTTGAGGGATGTAAACAAACACAATGGTCCTAAGGTATTTCCTGTTTTACATTTTTAATTTCTATAGCTTCAGAGAATTCAAAAGTAGCCACATGTTGATAAGTAATATTATGATAGCTGTTTTACCATTAAGTTATGATTCAGTCCACTCTTGTTACAGTTATGAAATAGTTTGATAACAAAACAGGAAATATTCACAGGCATTGAAATGGTCTACAGGTGTCAAATCCAGTTCCTAGAGGGCTGCAGCTCTACACAGTTTGGCTCTGACCCTAATCAAACACAGCTGATCCAAATAATTGAGGTGTTCAAAATAGTCTTGAACACCTTGATTAATGGAATCAGCTGGCTTTGATTAGGATCTGAGCAAAACTGTGCAGAGCTGCGGCCTCCAGGAATTGAATTTGAGACCTGTCCTTAACTACAGGTGTCAAACTCAGTTCCTGGAGGGCTGCAGCTCTGCACAGTTTAGTTTTGTTATTTCCTATTTTGTTCACCCTCCCGCTTTGTTATTTCTCCAAAACACCAGTAATTTTTCCTGTAAGTCTGTATCAGTCCCGGTTCACCGACTTTGGTATAGTATTCGATCGCAGCGGCCACCCGAAACCCAGTGCATAGTACTTACCCGGTTCTGGGCTGTGTTATTCAGACACCTCACTTCCGACACCAAAACATCACAACCCACCCTCGATCTCCCGGATTTTCAGAGACAAGTGTTGGCAGGTATGGTTCCAACCCTGATCAAACTAATTGAATCAATCAGGCTTGTCTGAAAGAAGTGCGTTGAAGCGGGTTGAAACTAAACAGTGCAGAGCTGTGGCCTTTCAGGACCTGAGTTTGACACCCCTGGTAAGGGGAGAAAAGGAGTAGATTGGATGCCACAGTATGGCAATTAAAAAGCAACAAATCTGTGTTGTCTAATTTTGTTTTGATTGTATACACATTGTGGTTTGCTATTGTGGTAGTTTGATACTATATTTAAGTCTTTAATGTCATGTTTGTATTTATGGCTTTTTGTTCTCTACATTTTCTGCTATACTGGTCTTTATGTGGAAAGCCAGCCTGATCTCACAAGAAAACGTAAGTATTTTACGTTTTGCCAGTTTAGTGGCTAATTCGTACGATTTTAAAAAGGAGGCGTGGCACCTAACCCCAACTGTCATTGGGGGATGAGCAAATCGTACTAAATTGTATGAGTTAGATCGTAAGAATTCATACGAATTAGCCACTAAAGCAAAAAGTTACGAATTGCCGTGAGATTGTGTTGGGAAAGCTCTACACTGAAAAAAAATATTCAAAGATGATTCCTTGGATTTACTCAATTTTTTTACGTTAAGTTGTTGTAAACAATTTACTTGCGCTGAATTTAAACAAACAAATTAAGTTGAACATTATTAAACTTAATTTTTTGTTTAAATTTAACACAAATAAATTGTTTGCAACAGTTTTGCATGCAACACTTTTTTCAGTATGTACCACATCTAAATGTGGAAACTGCAATTAAAAACAAGTAAAAAAGAAAACGATACACAATAAAGAAATATACTTACAGTGATGTTTCCATTAATGTCCGACTTAATTGGAGCAAAGACCTTGGAACCAAGGCAATCTGAATAACATGAAATGTGCTATGAAACATTATAACACCCAGTTCCTGTCAATATGGAGAGCATGACATGTAGTTTGCAAATCCAAATTACTTTAAATGATCAAATCAATACAAACTAAAAAAAAGATATAAAAAATGATTAAACAAATGTAATAATCAAATTTTCTGCTAAATCCACACAAAACCACAGTAGAGAGAGACCGGGTTGAAAGAACTTTTTGTTTGAGCTGTTCATCTGAAATCTGTTATTTTCCGATACCTTGTAGCAACAATGCATTTGAACTTGTTTTACACAATCAAAGATTATGTGAGTTAAGGCCAAATTCACAGTTTCGTTGTTAAAACATCCAGTGACCCACCACTGGAGTAAATAATTCTGAGTTATTATCATCAAAAAAGCTAGAATATTTATTACTTATGTTGAATGTTGGATTGAAGTTAGCACAAGTGCCTATAGAATTAACCTATGACTAGTGGAAGTCAATAAAAATGTATCTACATTACAAAGAATTATTTAGGCTTACTGTATAGTAGTCAACATTTGAAGTGGATCAAAACGGTTTATCGAAAGTGTTGGAATTGATGTTGTTTAAAAGTTTTAGGGCAGCTTTTATGAAAGTTGATCCACTTTGAATGTTGGCTACTGTGTGTGTGCCACTGTTCAAGTGAGCTCAAAAAGGAGCTTGAAGTGTTTAATACTATGACATCAACATTTGCTGCACTTAGATCAGAGATGCCCAAACTAGGGCATGCAGGCCAAAGTTGGCCCATGGTAATTTTCAATTCAATTCAGCTTTATTTGTATAGCGCTTTTACAATGTAGATTGTGTCAAAGCAGCTTCACATAAATGGTCATAGTAACTGGGTCAGGGTAGTTCAGTAAATTTTGGTTGCCCGCCATCCTATCTGAAAAGAGAGGAAGAATTATGTGGATGCTTTAGAGATTGTCATTTCTAATCTAATGTAGCCTTTTGTTTGTTTTATTGTTAAAAGCTAACTGCAATCAAATGTTTCAATTAAACAGTTTAAATAATTCAGATTTAGGCCAGGGCAGATTCTGCTTGACTGTTGAATTCAGCATTGAACTCCACTGTGCTATAAATGCGATTGTTTATACTTTTATTGCAATAGGTTATCATTTTAAATGTCATACTGCATTAGTTAATTACAATTTAAAGTATTTTTTCTAACAAATTAGAAAATTACCCATGGCAACTTTAATGTAATATAATTTGGTACCTTTGGCTCATGGCTCTCAATCATATTTGGTTTTTGTCCCTTTGTACGAAAAAGTTTGGGCACCCCTGATTTAGATAGTCAAACAAGCAGTGTTACACTAACAGTGCTATGGTCTCACAAATAACATGAATTCACCAAAGCAACATTTTTTTAAGCCCAGTGAAAAAAAATAATAAAGCTGGATATATTGGAACACTTCAGGTACTTTGTCTCAAGTTAATTTCTAACCATGTTTGAATGGTAATCTGGCGCCACCGTGTGGTTAAAAAGTCGTTGAAAAGGCCATCCACGAATAATCAACACAGGGAGAACAGTATCTGCTCTGTCCACTCAATATTTAATGGCCTCCTTGTTGTTTATTGCACCGGTTTTAACATTCATCCTTTAAAAGTCTAATAAAATGCTAGAGCAAGAGGGAAATTTGCTGTCATAGACTGTTTCAAGTCTTTACTAATAAACCTTGGTTAAAATTAATGTAAACATACTTAATCTAAAGGCATTTTCTTAGGCTTACCAGTAAAAAATATCGAATATAGCCTACGTGAGGTAATAAATTTAGCGACTTACCGAAAAAAGGCGGCAGGTGAGAAACTGACTCTAGAAATGTCTTTGTGGCGATTTCTTTGGTGTCAGACAGCGGCGCAAACTGCTGGTCCAGCAAAAGAGCCATAGCAAAGAATAAATGAATGAAATATAGCCAGCAAATGAACGAATGTGAGATTTTATTTTACAAAGAGATCGACGCTTCGTTTCTAATTTAATTTGGCCCGTCATATACACTCAACAGGTGAAAACAACTGAAACTGTCCGGCTGAAGTAAAGACTGTTCAGTCAGTTTGCAGTGAGCCCACAGCACTCAACGTTAATAAATCATGCCAGCATTGAAATGCACTTTATGCTGTCGAATGGCAAACTACAGTAGTAGTGACGTTAGTAGTTTATTTTTATAGTACAAACGGCCCAAACACAATCGACATTAGTTAAAATGACAAGTCACACATTGCATAAACAACTAGAGCACTAAAAACAAAGCCCATAACATTCAGAAACCTCAAAAGCTAAAGAAAGATGATGGGATTTCAGAAGGTTTTAAAAACATTTAAAGTTGTAGCTTGTCCAATGTGAGGTGGATTATTATTCCAGGGTTTTCTTTGTCAAATTTAAGACTTTTTGAGACCCTTTTATGAACATTATGAACGAAATTTTAGACTTAAACAGGGCTAAACACTAAGGATTTTTTTTGTAATGGCCCAGTTACTTCAAACAGTTTTTGTATTACAGAAGATCATGTAAAGGGATGTGATGCTTTAGTTTTCGTTCTCTGCTTAATTTAATTAAGAGAATTAGCTGTAAACATGTCTAACAGCTGTGATTTGTATCTCTGCGCAATAAAAACACATGTTTAGTTTTAAGATGGATTATTGGTGACTGGGTATATACTTGGACAAAGGAAAATTAAGACCTGTTTAAGATGATTTAAGACCTACAACTAACTAGCCATGTAAGTAAATTTAAGACTTTAAGCACTTACATTTTGTTTATGAACTTTAAGACATTTTAAGACTTTTTAAGACATCGCGGACACCCTGTTATTCAGAATCAGAAAGAGCTTTACAGCCAAGTATGTTCACACATACCAAGAATTTGTTTTGTTTTCGTGACAGAGCTTCTACAGTTTGTAAGGTCCACCCAGTTGGTCCAATGGAGGTGTCCTCTGGTGGATGAAAGTTCAATGCCTGTTCGGTCTTTTCAGTGAAAAATGTTGATTTACTTTAAATTTAACTCCTATCTGACTCCAATTTGAATATGAGGCGGTTTAGAATATTAATATATTTATCTTTCATTTCATCTGACTCCATTTAGAAAATATTAAGAAGATTATATCAATATATAATTTAGATAAATGTTTTAACCTTTTGTCTTCTCTCGTAACTATTAGATTTGTTCATTCAAGTGCTCAGAGAGATCGTCCCGGCCGATGGCGTCCCTCACAATCATAGTCATGTCAGTCTTCAATACTAAATAGAGGTAAATGACTACCACTTTTAGATGGCCGCTCCCCAGCTTGCTCGTTCTAAAGTGTTTTTAATTAGTCCTCCTTAGATGTAGACCCTTGAGTAAAGACAATATCATTTTCAATCTGAGATTAGGACAATTATTATAAATGTAACCGACTACTGTGCTCTATAATAATTTTGGTTTCACCAAGCCCTAGGTATTACTTTAGTATTTACTATAATTTTGACCCATACCATGTATTTTTGGATATTACTAAAATGTGCAACATATGTCCTTGCACAAATGCAACCAACTAACCAATCAACCAACCAATCAATCAATCAATCAAACATATGCTAGAGAAGAATTAATGCACAATACCTTCATGCAAATAATCAATGAACATCCATGACAAGTTCCATCTCGAGTACATTTAAATTTTATTATATTTAATACCAAGACTTTCATTGAAGCAGCATCAACTGCATGATGCATATCCCATAATGAAGGCGGCGTGACCTTCTGAACTGAGCAGGTTAGTGTGTGCGCGTGTGTGTGTTTGTGTTCGCACATCCACCAGCTACTGGAGCAGGAAACAGAAGGACAAACTCACACCAGGTTAGTTGCATACAGAACTGACAACTAGCAGCTTACATATAGAGCTTGTATATAAATATAATACAATGTACTGAATAATACAGAGCGATACCACATAATACCGGAATCACTAACACAGCAGCTGGTGGCCGTTAGGCAAATGTGTCGTTATTTGTATTATTTCAGACAAGGCAGCACATGAACACATACATTTAGGACACACGAGAGCATCCCTAAAACATGGAGTGAATTCATAGCGGATTACTTTCGTTTCGCAGCGGTCTATGAATAAACTCTGAGGAATGAAAACTTTTCACACGCGCACGGGATTGAAGAAAGCATCCTGAAAGAAATATAAAATGGACGTACATTTGAACTTGATGGAAATGAGAAATTATTTCTAGTGAAAATAAACATGAAATGTCAGCATGTACACCACCAACCAAAACATTAGAATCAGCAAGATTCCTTTTTCATGTTTCATGGCAATTCAGCTCACCAAGACTTTATTTATACGATTAAAAATACATAATTGAAAATAATTGTTTTTTTTAATCTAATTTATTCCTGTGATTCAAAGCTGAATTTTTGTCATCAATATAGACCTTTTTCTTGGCTGCTGCATGGAGGGCGCAATTGCGACCAGCGTCTTCCGGTAGAATGTTTAGAACTTCCGTTTACAGCATTTACAACAGGTAATTTGCCTTCCAGCACTGGGAAACCCCCATACACACTCATTCACACACATACACTATGGCCAATTTAGTTTATTCAATTCACCTTTAGCATGTCTTTGAACTGTGGGGGAAACTAGAGTCCCCAGAGAAAACCACGCCAATACAGAGAGGGTAAAGCTTTTATATATAATTTTTTTTCTGGTTTTTCACCTTTAATGGATATTACTGTAGAGATTATTGACCGGAAAGCGTGGGGAGCAGAGAGAGGGAAAGGATCAGGATAGGACCTCAAGGCAGGAATCAAACTCAAGATGTCTTGAGCACGGAAGTGCATACGTCGATGCACTAACCAATATTTTAAACTATTTAAATGCATTTTTAATGTAAAAAAAAAAAGACTAAATAAAAGCTTTTATTTTAAATGTATTTGTAAAGTAAAAGATTGAAAATAAAATCTATTTAAACATGTTGCATTTGTAATGTAAATATTGTAAAAAATATTATTACTTAACTATTTTAACCATTTTAATGCTTTTGTAATGTAAATAAAAGAATGTAAACAAAAGTTATTATTTAACTATTTTAATGGTAATGTAAAAATATCGTAAATAAAAGCTATTATTTGAGCTATTTTAAATAATATTTTTAATATAAAAGATTGAAAATAAAAGCTATTATTTAACTATTACACCAATTATCATTAATGCATTTGTAATGTAAATTATTGTAAACAAAAGTTAATACTTTATTATTTTAACTATTTTAATGCTTTTGTAACGTAAATAAAAGATTGTACACAAACATTATTATTTTTAGCCATTTTTAATGTCAACGTAAAAAAAGATTGTAAATAAAAGCTTCTATTTTTAAGTATTTTTAATGTATTTACAATATTAAAGATTGAATATAAAAGCTATCATTTAATTAGTTTAACTATTTTAATGCATTTGAATTGTAAATAAAATGATTGACTTTTTTTTAAATATTTGTATGGTAATGTAAAAAAAGACCATAAATAAAAGCTATTATTTTTAAACGTTAAAAAGAATCCTAAAAGTCAAATGTATGGCAGTTTCCATAATATTACGAAGTTTAGAACTTTCAGCGCTGACAATTGGAGGAATCATTATTTTATTTCATTTGTTCATTCATTCATTTACCTTCGGCTTAGTTGCGTATTTCTCAGGGGTCGCCACATTGGAATGAACCGCCAAGTTATCCAGCATATGTTTTACACAGCGGATGCCCTTCCAGCTGCAACCCAGTATCCACCCACACACACACACTCGTACACTATAGATGAATTGGATAAATAAAATTGGCCGTAGTGCGTTTGGACTGTGGGAGAAACCTGAGCACCCGGATAAAACCCACAGCATTACGAACACAGACATGTCAACTGATCCAGCCAGGACTTGAACCAGCGACCTTCTTGCTGTGAGATAACATTGCTAACCACTGAGCCACTGTGTCGCCTATTTTATTTTAGAATTATTATTATTATTATTATTTTAAATCAGTGTTTTTGTACCAATAATAAATGATCACAAGCAAACAGCATTCTGATTTGTGAAGGCTCACGTGACACAGACGTATAGACTGGAGTAATGATGAAAATTCAGCTTTGAATCACAGGAATAAACTAAACTTGAAACTATGTTCAATAAGAAAACCGTTATTAATGGATTATATTATTATATTTAACAATTTTGACTATTTTCCATCCAATAAATACAGCCTTGATGAGCAGAATTACCTTTTAAAACATAAAAAATAAATCTTACTGATTCCACACACACACACACACACACACACACACACACACACACACACACACACACACACACACACACATGCACGCACACACAACAGCTCACATACTAAAGCACTTCATAATAAGACTATACACTCTGAATACTTAATTCAATGGCCACACCAGGACGGGTAAGATATTATTCTGCAGCGAGGCTAAAGGGTATTTATTGCACAAGAAATGAGGCATTGTGGGTCCTGACATCTACATCATGGTCACGTTTTGAGTGAACTGCTTTTCAAGACAAAGAACCATTTATTACACCAGCTGAATTTCAGCAATAATAGCTGTTTACGATTTGTTCCGGTTTTGTCTTGGCGTGATGTATTGGAAATGCACAGGTAGTAAAGGCCTTGTTCTGTTAATCCACAAACATGAGCGATACAGACGAAAATGAGTTCATTAGCACCATCGGAAGCAAAACAAATATTAGTTTACAATTAAAAACGGCACCATAAAGCTAGGACAAAACAATAATAATATTAATAATGTCATTGATAATTGAAACTCAGTGTCCCAAAATTTATGTTAGTGTGTACGAATAAAATATATATAAAAAAGGTCATTTCTGCAAGAATACAAACCAAACTGTGCTGTGTTGATCATCAATAATAATAATAATACCTGGGGCGGGACAATAAATTGATGCAATGAGAATTGATTCTGAATCGATTCTGAAATTGAGCTTGGTTTTTGCCACCAGGTGGCGCTGTATGTTTTATAAACAGCAACATACAGCTAGTCCTTGCTCATACCACTTAAACATAACCATCATTAATAACGTTGATGATTTGATGAAAACATTCAAGCAAATTACACAATAAATGCGTGGTGGAAGTACATTACATCGCTGAAAGCTCAAGAGTTCTTCATGCTTGCTAATAGTGTATGATTAAAAACTAGCCTAGAGCACTGTCTGCTGTTAAAAACAGGGCTAGAGCGTCACCTGCTGTTAAAAACTAGCCTAGGGGCACCATCTGCTGTTAAAAACTAACATAGAGCGCCATCTGCTGTTATAAAACTAGCCTAGGGCAACATCTGCTGTTAAAAACTAGCATAGAGCGCAGTCTGCTGTTAAAAACTAGTCTAGAGCACCATCTGCTGTTAAAAACTAGCCTAGAGCGCAGTCTGCTGTTAAAAACTACCCTAGAGCGCCATCTGCTGTTTAAAACGAGCCTAGAGTGCCATCTGCTGTTAAAAACTAGCCTAGAGTGCCATCTGCTGTTAAAAACTAGCCTAGAGGGCCATCTGCTGTTTAAAAGAGCCTAGAGTGCCATCTGCCATTAAAAACTAGCCTAGAGGGACATCTGCGGTTAAAAACTAGCCTAGAGTGCCATCTGCTGTTTAAAATGAGCCTAGAGCGCCATCTGCGGTTAAAAACTAGCCTAGAGCGCCATCTGTGGTTTAAAA